GACAAGATTGGAGGAGTAGGGCAGAGAGGAAGAGAAACCAAAATAAAACATCAAATAAATCATGTAGGAGTCCAGCCAAGGGCCAGGCCAGAGCTGGGCCAGGCTGGGGGGAGGGGCCTCTGCAGGCTCCAGGATCACTGCTGCTGCCACTGCTACCCTGGGAGCCAGTTATTTTGCCATGGCCTTGATTGCAACAGCTGCCTCCTCTGTCATGGCAGACAGCACTGTGATCAAGATCTCTTCTCCACAGTCATACTTCTGCTCAATCTCCTTGCCAAGGTCTCCGTCAGGAAGACGTAGGTCCTCCTGCACCTCCCCACTGTCCTGGAGCAGTGATAGGTAGCCATCCTGGATGCCAATCAGCTGGAAGTCATTTCTTTTGATGTTGGGAACATCCATATTATGAGTTGAGGGGCAGATATCTTCGTATTTCTTCCCAGTAAAGATGTCAATGCCAACCAGGTGGACCTTTGCATGGCCATGCTTGCCAGTCTTGGAAGTAGACATTTCGACAATCTTACATGGCCGGCCTTTGAGCACCACAAAACCATTCTTCCGTAATGCTGAGCACTGCATTGGGAAGGTGGCTGAGGCCCCTGCATCTCCTGTCTCGAAGTCCAAATCATCTGCCATTTTAAAAGGCTTCGATTCCAACTCGCGCGAACGCACTGACTCGACCCCGTCCGCTTGCCGCGAGTCCAACCGCTGCCTCCGAGCCCGCTACCGCCGCCGCCGCCGCCGCCTCTACCCTATACAGTGATTTTTCCACCGGTGGGTGTGGGAAACTGATACTCTGAAACTTATACTAGATCCAGAGCTCTGGATCTGCTCCATAAAAGCACCTTCTCTGATTTTTCCGCACCTCCCCCATGGAGCCTGTCTGACCTGACTCTGCTTCTTCCCACCTCCAAAACCAGAAGTCCTATGGTATGTTTTATTTGTATTAGTTAGATAACTGTATGTTGGTGCATTCTTAATCAGACTCCAACTCCTACAACTCCTAGTAGATGTGATCAGGAGATGGACTTCTCTGTTCACTGCTCTAACCGCTTGCTTCAGAGTATGCTTAGCATGTGTTGGTACAGGAGCTTGTATTTGCTCTTACTTGCCATATTTGTGGAGCTTTAGAGGGTGTGATTATAGTTTGGCTATTTTGCTGTAGTTGTTTTTCTTGTGGCAAGAAGAGGAAGAGTTCCCACAAGATTGAAGGAGGACGAACAAAAAACAAACATAAAAAACCCAAGAATAAAATCAAAAGTTATAAAAGCCCAGTGGGGTTCGGGGGAGGAACAAGGAGCAGCTGGTGAGCTTGAAACAATGACCGTGCAATTCAAACCTACTTTTCAGTCCAGTGCATTAACCCACAGTGCTACACAAGGACTCCAAAGGTCAGTTGCTGCATTG